AATTATATATCAGGCTATGATTCAGCCAGTACTGACGTATGGGTCAGAAGCGTGGGTTGTAGATAAAAATATGTCACAAAAGCTTCTCTCAACCGAAATGATGTACTGGAGAAGATGTTCCGGTTTAACTTTACTTGACCATGTTAGAAATGAGACCATCAGAGAAAGAATGGAAGTCGAAAATACAATAATGGACGATATAACAGAGAGGCAGTTAAAATGGTATGGACACCTGCAACGAATGAACGAAGAAAGGATACCATTAAGGGTTTGGAAATGGACACCAGCACAAAGAAATAAATGAGGAAGACCACGAAGGAAATGGATTTCAAACATCCATACCGCAATGGAAAGTACAGGACTACATGAAGGAGACTGGAACGATAGGATACGATGGCGTATGGGTTGCGAGAAGCGACCTTAGGTTGCAGAAACTCGCCATATATATATATATATATATATAGGAAAATTAGTTTCTCGTTGGATACCCCACCTGTTGACTGAAGAACAGAAAACAGCCAGGGTTAATTGGTGTCAAAAAACGCTTGACCGTTTCAATTCCGGAAACTCAAAAAATGTGTACAGCATTGTTAGTGGTGATGAATCGTGGATTTACTGTTATGAACCAGAAAACAAACGACAGTCGGCTGTTTGGGTGTTCCAAGGTGAAGAAAAGCCAACAGTCATCCGTTCTTGAAGTTTTTCGAAAAAGATGGTCGCGACATTTGTTTCAAAAGCGGGTCATATGGCAACAATTCCACTTAATAAGCAAAGAACTGTTACTGCGTATTGGTATACCACCATTTGTTTGCCAAAAGTCATCACCGAGCTTCGAAAAATCAACCCCGAAAGAAGAATCATCCTCCACCAAGATAATGCAAGCTCGCGCACAGCCTAAAAAACAAAGCAGTATTTAACGGAAGAAAACGTGGAATTATTGGATCATCCTCCATATAGTGCCGATCTAAGTCCTAACGATTTCTTTACTTTCCCGAAAATTAAAAACAGACTGCGTGGTCGAAGGTTCCAGTCACCAGAAGAAGCAGTTGACGCATTCAAAAATGCCGTTTTGGATCTGCCAGCAAACGAGTGGAATAAGTGCTTCGAAAATTGGTTCGAGCGCATGCAGATGTGTATTAATCTTCGTGGAGAATACTTCGAAAAACAATAAAGTCATTTAAAACTACCGACGGTGTTGTTTTATTTCCATATGCAAAACTTAAAAGACATCCCTCGTATATACGCCATTGCAAACATCCAGACTGAAGGAAATGAGTGACGTGGTTTTTCGTCCATGTCGTGTAACATCTCATTTTTGACATTTTTCAAGATTACAATGCTTCCCCGCCAGTGACGTGGGAAGTTAAACTGTATGAAATTGCTAATATAGGAAGGGTGTATTACGTTTTCCACTGTACAGCTTGCCAGCCATAATTAAAGCTCTTTTTACATTACCCATTAACAACGGTCGAATTTTGAAATTACCTACTGCATTATGTGTGAATGATTGAAAGCATGTAACATAACATTCTATAACAAGTTCACTTTTACTGCTTATTATGATATTATGCACATGTATCTGACCTGATACATATAACTTTACCTTTTCACAGCTGTTTTATTTACCAGTATGTTAATGTCTCGCAATTATGTATGTATTACGAAACTAATCTGAGGGAAGTAAATAGTCGCAAATAAGCGCAACGATTAGAAGAAAAATCGTTGAATACCGTTACATTTATTAGGAATAATATATGCAGGTCAATATGGCATATGCCCACTCAAGGACATTTCCAGATGTAGTACCGTTAGTGAATCAAGCAGACGATACTAACCATAAAATCATCATAACATAATTAAGCATAGGAATGCTGTCTCTCTCTCGATCACATATTTATTTATATCTTATAATGCTTGTTTCTGAAAGAGTCTTTGATATCTTCATTCGTTATACATTCGCATAACCTTTTATCTGGTAATGTTGACCTTAAACAGCATGTATACTAAGTGACATATAAATCCGAACACCCAGTTTAAATGGTTTTATTTTAATAAAAGTTGGTGAATGTATTTATCTTACTGTAAATAACAAGTGAAAAAATTTTCAGCCTTATCAGTTGGACATTCCGGTTTTTATACTGTTTTTTTTAATTCACTAACGCTCTAAAAATGAATATTTCAGCCGCAGTAGAGAATCAACGTTGGCGGATTTTGGTTCTTGACATCCTTTACGATCGGTTACGATGCCTAGAGTACGGAGACCTGTACGATTTCGTCAACTTAGTGAGTTTGATAGGGGCCATATGGTGGGACTTCGGGAAGCTGGACTTTCTTTTCGGGCAATTGCAGTTAGAGTGCAAAGAAGTGTAGACACTGTGGTTAGGTGTTGTCAGGCATGGCTTTGAGAAAGCCGTACGCAAAGAGCAAGGGGCACTGGACGCCGCCGTAGAACAACAGACCGTGAAGATCGCCGCCTAAGATTATTGGCCTTAAGGGACCGTTTCTCTACTACCAGGTACATTGCAAATGAATGGTTTGCAGAACACGGAAGACCTATTGGCATGCGAAGTGTTTACCGACGAATGAGAAGTTTTGGCTTGTTTTCATACCGGCCACACTGGGTCCTCCCTTTACCTCGAGGACACCGACGTAATCGCCTTGAGTGGTGCAGACAACGGTCACTCTGGCATCAGGAATGGAACAGTATTGTCTTTAGTGATTAGTCTCGATTTTGTTTAGGCATGCACGATGGTCGTACCAGGGTTAGAAGGCGACGTGGTGAAAGGAGGAATCCACAGTTTTTTGTTGAAAGACATGTTCATCACACTGTTGGAGTTATGGCTTGGGGTGCTATAGCTTATGGTTCCAGGTCACCTTTAATCTTCATCAGAGGTAACATGAACGTGCAGCGTTATATCCACGAAGTTCTAGAACCCCATCTTTTACTCTATCTTGACACCCTGGCAAATCCAACTTTCCAACAAGATAATGCCCGACCACATGTTGCAAGAGTCACAATAGACTTTCAACATAATGATGTCACATTGTTACCATGGCCACCAAGATCTACCGACTTATCCCCAATTGAGCACGTGTGGGATATGATGGGTAGGAGATTGCTCAATTTGCAACGTCCTCCTCAGACTCTAGAAGCACTTCGAGAGGAGTTGGTGGTTGCCTGGAATGAGATACCACAGGAGGACATTGACCACCTGATCAGAAGCATGCCTAGGCGCGTTGGAGAATGCGTAGCACATCAGGGTACATCCACACATTATTAAAGGTCAAAGTGCTTTAAAGCAGTGCAATCATTTTGAAATTTTTATCATTTACTTATTATGCTTCATTAAGCACTTATACAAAATTTTATTAAAATAAAACCATTTAAACTGGGTGTTCGGATTTATATGTCACTTAGTATATTTCTAGCAGCTTGCATGTAAACGAAATTCCATTTTTTTGCTCTTCTCTAGTTGTAATTGGGTGTCATTGCTTCATGACAGCTATCTAAGGTATTCAAACTTTTACAAAGTATAATTTTCTTTACATGATTATATAAAAATATGCTAAGTGACATTGTAAAGGATTTTTTTTCATATCATTATCGGAACAATATGAACGTGTTTACTTGATATTCAGTGATTTTTCTGTGTTGGTCCCATTTGTTTCATTGCATTATCATGCCTAGCGTTCGCAGACCACTTTCCGAGTTTGAGAGGAGTCTGATCATCGGGTGACGTGAAGCCGGAATTTCTTTCAGAGAAATCGCTAATCCGGTGAACCGAAACGAAGCTACCCTGATGAGACGTTGTCGAGCGTGGATCCAAGAAGGCCGAAATCGACGATTTAAAGGTACTAAGACAGAAATGCCATTCAGAATATCCACAATAATCATTTGTGAGCAGAAGAAAATCCCTATGCTATAACCGAAACCCATTTCCAACACCAATTTTCGGTTAACGTATGAGCAGGAATTATTGGCAACAGTGGCGGCTCGTGGCACAATAAAACAGGTGTTCTCCAAATCCGAACTTACCTATTTTTTATGTCAGTTCGATCCTGAGCTCCTTTTTGGCAGCAAATTTGTCCATCACCTTCCCGTTGAAATTTTCCATGGTCGAAATAAATTCCTTTTCAATGGACAGTATCGACAACGCTGTAAGGCGATTTTGGGTCATAGGATTTCGAAGAAAGGTCTTGATTCTTTTCAATGTTGAGAAATTTCGCTCAGCCTCTGATGTTTACATAGGAGTTGTAACAATAATTTCTAATAGCTTTTTTGATTCTTTTAGTGTTTCCTACAAACTATTTTGTATCAAAAATTTCAAAAGAGAGAGAGTTCCATGTGAATCTCGGCAATCATTCCGTGTATAAATAACAGACAACTCTGTCTTTAAACGACTTTTTCCTAATTCGGGATAAGCCAAGCAGGTAGTTTCCAACTTGTCATCAGGAAACTTACCACAGTATTCTCCAAAGTATTCGGGGAAATAAGGGATGCGGCTTCCAAATGATCTTTGAATTGAAATCTGTCATTTGCAGAATTCACTATATTGTCGCATACTTCTAATGCGGCCACACTGTGATCGTGACCGCTATTATTACGTCGTCTCCTTTTGTTGCCTTGGGGTTCAGTGCAAATACTTTTGGCTTCATTTATTATGTCATCAATTTTATTTCTCACATCGACAATACATTTTTCAAAATTATCGATAGCCGTTTTAACTTGCGCTGGCTCGGTTTTTCTTTTCTGCAACTGGTTGAACAAGATGTCGACGTGAGGCATGACATGATGAAAAAATGTCAACCAAAACACGAAAACAGAATCGTTTAACATACATTCAGTGAGTGATTCTCTGTTAAAACACTACATTTATTGTTTGAATATTAAAATTCCAACGGGTTGTTGCTCCTTGGGGAATTTTTGCCCCACAATTCTGTTCAGTACCTCTACGCGTTGAGGAGAATTATTAAAAAATCCCGGAATATCTTTCAAATCCCCAAAGAACACCCGAACTTGAGCATTTGAGGAAGCAGCTTGGGTCATAATCAGGTTTAACTGATGCGCATAGCAATGCACATAGTGAGTAAATGGATATCTTTGTTTAATTTTTGCCTGTACTGCAGCATTATGTCCGCTCATCACCGCGGCTCCATCATAGCTTTGTGAAATTAGTTTGTTAGGAAAATTTCCTATTAATGGATCTACGACGCTCTTGTGAGAGTATCAGCGTCACATTTTTCGGGATTCATATAATTCCAAAAACGTTCTACTGGTTCGCCGTTAAATACGTATCTGAAAATTGTTACCAGTTGGGCTTTTCCCGAAATGTCCGTTGTTTTATCTGCTATTATCACCAAATACGAGGCTCTATTAATCTGTTTTATTATTTCTTCAAGACAAACTTCAAGAATACAATCCGGTAGATCGTTTTGTATTTCTTTCGAAGTTCCTTTAAATATTGAAGCATTTTTCATGTGTTCGCTTGAGGTTGTATCAAGCTCAGCAGAAAAATTAGTCAGTTCACGAAATATTTCCGGGTTTTGGGAGCTCTCGGTTTCGTCGCGGCCTCGTAGCGCCAATTCAAATGATTCAAAAGATTAGTAATCAAAAAAATCGTATTAATTATGCTTCTTGAAAGTTTTATCCTGTATTTTTCGGATTTTTTATACTGTATTCATAATCTTCATTTTGCCACTACCGGGTCATTAAACAAATATTGGACACAAAGCACTTTGGCGCTGCCTGATATTTAAAATGGAATTTCATTGAAATTTCTTCTGCGACTTCCTCACGCGAAAATATTACAAAAACTTGTTTCTGTAGAATTGTGGCTCTGTTTTTTCCACAAAATTCAGTTTTTTGGGTTTCATTCTCTCCCCGAAATGTCCGTTGTTTCATCTGCTATTATCGCCAAATACGAGGCTCTGTTAATCTGTTTTATTATTTCTTCATAACAAACTTCAAGAATACAATCCGGTATATCGTTTTGTATTTCTTTCGAAGTTCCTTTAAATATTGAAGCATTTTTCATGTGTTCGCTTGAGGTTGTATCAAGCTCAGCAGAAAAATTAATCAGTCCACGAAATATTTCCGGGTTTTGGGAGCTCTCGGTTTCGTCGAGGCCCCGTAGCGCCAATTCAAATGATTCAAAAGATTAGTAATCACAAAAATCGTATTAATTATGCTTCTTGAAAGTTTGTATCCTCTATTCTTCGGATTTTTTATACTGTATTCATAATCTTCATTTTGCCACTACCGGGTCGTTAAACAAATATTGAGCACAAAGCACATTGGCGCTGCCTGATATTTAAAATGGAATTTCATTGAAATTTCTTCTGCCACTTGCTCACCAGAATGGGACACTGCTCATAATTCGATAGTATAATTTAGTGAAGTATTGAGTTGTAATTTATGATATCTAGTTAGTGTTTAAATAAATGTCTTCCTTAAAAAAACGATGAATTTGTTGTGCCAAAACCTTTATGACGTACGTTACGTGAATAAGTAACTTTTCATCCTCATCTTTGAAGAAGGTCCATAACCGTACGAAGACAGACCGCTGACATTTTTTGACCTCCTACCAAGCGAGCGAAGTATAATTTGACGCTATTTTCTTTCCAATTTTCCAGTATCACGTCTGAAAGAGAATATAATTGCAAAGCGTTGACCCCGTTATCATAAGCTCTCGGTCTACTATCACTTCTGAGATACATTCCCTTCACTAATACCTGCATTGGTATACCAATTATAGCTTCAATTGTTTACTTTCAAGTTCAATATAATTGTATTGTAACAAAGTAAATAATGCGGATATTATTTATATTCAGTCAATAATGTCATAGAGATTGACCTGGTATAATTTGGCAAACTTGACCATGGCAAGAAAAAACTATGCTTTATGCCTCAATTCTATAACGTAGCTTCTAAGACTGTTTCTGTGATTGTCTTTGTCTGTATCTCTGCTGGTAGGTGGCATGATGGGTGGCGAGGTTGCAATGCTGCCAGATGTGCGGTACTGTCGGTAGGACTGGGCAGAAATTTCTAGACTGCAACGTTGTCAAATGGGCGGGGACTATGGACCAATTGTACGAGCCTGTTTGGCTGATGATCTTTATAATTTTTTATATAATCATTTATGAACTGATGACAGCGTTATGTGCGGAATGCAGAGTCAACCTACTTGACGCTACTGTTTCATTCCTTTGTTGAGAAGAACGTATTTTATAATCATGCGATGACTTAGCCACTTAAATCCTCTGCATTTCGGTTGGAGGAATCGGCCAATTAGTTTTTATTCTAGACACAATTAATTTATGTGATAATTCTTATGTCAAATCGTCAATGTCAAACAGAAAAGGCTATTTTCCTAACATTTGATAAAGGTCTAACTAATGGCAAATGAAGGATCATGTTCCTACATATTTTGAGAGTGTACTTTAGAGGGTAGTTCTTGCTACTCCTCGTTGATTGCACTGCTTTAAAGCCCTTTGACCTTTAATAATGTGTGGATGCACCCTGATGTGCTACGCATTCTCCAACGCGCCTAGGCATGCTTCTGATCAGGTGGTCAATGTCCTCCTGTGGTATCTCATTCCAGGCAATCACCAACTCCTCTCGAAGTGCTTCTAGAGTCTGAGGAGGACGTTGCAAATTGAGAAATCCCCTACCCATCATATCCCACACGTGCTCAATTGAGGATAAGTCGGGAGATCTTGGTGGCCATGGTAACAATGTGACATCATTATGTTGAAAGAAGTCTATTGTGACTCTTGCAACATGTGGTCGGGCATTATCTTGTTGGAAAGTTGGATCTGCCAGGGTGTCAAGATAGGGTAAAAGATGGGGTTCTAGAACTTCGTGGATATAACGCTGCGCGTTCATGTTACCTCTGATGCACCCCAAACCATAACTCCAACAGTGTGATGAACATGTCATTCAAAAAAAAACTGTGGATTCCTCCTTTCGCCACGTCGCCTTCTAACCCTGGCACGACCATCGTGCATGCCTAAACAAAATCGAGACTCGTCACTAAAGACAATACTGTTCCATTCCTGATCCCAGAGTGACCGTTGTCTGCACCACTCAAGGCGATTACGTCGGTGTTCTCGAGTTAAAGGGAGGACCCAGTGTGGCCGGTATGAAAACAAGCCAAAACTTCTCATTCGTCGGTAAACACTTCGCATGCCAATAGGTCTTCCGTGTTCTGCAAACCATTCATTTGCAATGGACCTGGTAGTGGAGAAACGGTCCCTTAAGGCCAATAATCTTGGGCGGCGATCTTCACGGTCTGTTGTTCTACGGCGGCGTCCAGTGCCCCTTGCTCTTTGCGTACGGCCTTCTCGACGCCATGCCTGACAACCCCTAACCACAGTATCTACAGTTCTTTGCACTCTAACTGCAATTGCCCGAAAAGAAAGTCCAGCTTCCCGAAGTCCCACTATACGGCCCCTATCAAACTCACTAAGTTGACGAAATTGTACAGGTCTCCGTACTCTAGGCATCGTAACCGATCGTAAAGGATGTCAAGAACCAAAATCCGCCAACGTTGATTCTTTACTGCGGCTGAAATATTCATTTTTAGAGCGTTAGTGAATTAAAAAAAAGCAGTATAAAAACCGGAATGTCCAACTGATAAGGCTGAAAATTTTTTCACTTGTTATTTACAGTAAGATAAATACATTCACCGACTTTTATTAAAATAAAACCATTTAAACTGGGTGTTCGGATTTATATGTCACTTAGTATATTTTGAGAGTGTACTTTAGAGGGTAGTTCTTGCTACTCCTCGTTCATGTAAAAAACTCCCTTCTTGGAAGCAAAATATACATATTCTGCTCGAAAATAATTGAATAAATGTTTACATGAATTAATGATATATCTAAACGAAACCTATGTATACATCAAATAAACAAAAGATCAATTTCAATAAATGGTGACGATTGTAACCGGCTTAAAGGTTAAGGCGGAAGTGCTTGCCAAGATATTTGCTTCCAGCACCAATATGCACTCCCCTACATTATGCGGGAAGTAACCTTTAGGTGGGGGCTCTTGACACTTGACATCAACAAAGCTTCTGATTCTGACATGATTCCTGCTATTGTACTGAAGAGACGTGCAGCGGAGTTTGCTCCACTTCTTTCGCGTCTCTTCAAGATTTTCTAGCATGATTTTATGAACAATTTTGAGCATTTCTAGGTTTTTCCCCCTGAAAAAATTAGCTACCACTCGCTCTACAAAAAGCTTTGGGGTTGGTACATTTTTACAAAAGTTATCTTTTGCCGATGATCGCCTATCCTGAGAAAAATTCCTGCAGGCGCCCATGTATTTTCCCACAAAAATGGAAATTTGTTCATATTCAGCCCCTCCAAAAAAAAAAAACGATCTAAGACCGACCCGTACAACTACAGACCCATAGTTCTACTTGATCTGCTACTCCAGCAGGTGGGAGAAAACTAGAATAACTGGGCTAAGAAGTATTTTTCTTCGCATTACCTCCCCACTCTTTACAAGCCCCAGAGAAGACGTAGCCTCGAGTATTGCTCACACGTTCGGGGTGCAGCCGCCCCGACTATATTATCTATGCTCGATGCTGTCCAAAAGAGGGCTATCCGACTGATCGACGATCACTTTTCTCTTTCCCTTTCGCACCGGCGGGCCATCGACGATCTAGCTCTCTTCTACCGCTACACCAATGGGCTTTGCTCCTCAGAGCTCTCATCCATGATACCGCCGCGCGATGTGCCTGCAAGACAGATCCGCCTGACTTCGGTCTTCCATCCTAACCGTGTCGAACTTTGTACATCCAGAACTAGCCGATACGACCGCTCCTTTGTCCCGAGCCTGTCGAGATTGCGGAACAATCTACAAGAGGAAGCTTTTCCCAGTTCTAGTAACCTTAGGCAGTTCAAATATCGGATTAACAAAAACGGTCAGAACTTAAAAGCAACATAGCACAAATGTTCGTTATTCTACTACGTGCGTAACCCAACCCACATTTTTTATCAACCAAAGCCGAACCTCAGTCAAAAAGTTGACCTTAGCAATATCAAAGTTCTGCATCTCAAGAAAAAATGCCAGACGTTCGGTACACCTAAACCACCATACCTCATCGAGATACTCATTACCCAGGTATGTACCTGTCCAGGCATAATGACGATCATGAAATATTAGGGAATATGCGGATTTGGTCACGTAGGCACCAAGAAAACCACAACATGCTGTTCACGCGGTCTTTTAGATATCTATCGTGTCAGTATATTAGATTAGGTCAATAGCTCAAAGTCTGTAGGACGAAAGACGTACCTCAAAAAAGACTGATCAAAAATATGTTTGGCTAGCTTTTGTCGATATTGGTCAATGTCTAATACATTTTTTTGTAAATTCGTGCACCTGGAACGCATGTCTTGAATTTCGAGGCAAAGCAACACCGTGTCCAATTAATTCTATCGTCTTCAGAGGTGCCGATATAAGGGCTTCACGCTTCAAATTTTACCGATGTATTTTACATATTCTACGATCTTATCGAGATAACAGAATAAAAGAAAAAATCAAAATCAATAGCCTGGGGTTTGATGCGGTTCTAAGTGCCTTATTGATTACCTAACTTCGCTCCCGTTTGAGCGACTTCA